ATACTCAGTCATACAGAATTGACTATCAAGAGACATTTTCCCCAGTAGCCAAACTGAACTCCATTAGAATCATACTTTCCATTGCAGCAAATCGAGACTGGCCCCTTATGCAACTTGATGTCAAAAATGCATTCCTTAATGGAGATCTTGATGAGGATGTATATATGGATTTACCGCCTGGTCTTGAAGAGTCATTCCCTAGTGACAAAGTATGCAAGCTCTAGAAATCTCTGTATGGTCTCAAACAATCTCCCCGTGCTTGGTTTGCCCGATTCACCAATTTCGTAATCAAGTGCGGTTATACTCAAAGTCAGGCTGATCATACAATGTTCACAAAAAGATCCGAGAAGAAGATTGTTGTACTTATTGTGTATGTGGATGACCTCATTCTTACCGGTGATCACACTGAAGAATTGACAAAGCTGAAGAAGTTCCTAGCCCATGAATTTGAAATCAAGGACCTTTTTGAATCGTATCAAAAGTATTTATATGTGGAAGTATGATATGACATGCTCCAAAGAAAGGCAATTAATAGAAAATGTGTGTTGATGGCAAAGTTATCAGCAAAATTATTGTGATATATGACATGATTCCCTAGTTGGATGATATTTTAAATTTAATTTTAGAATATTTGTTTTTTTTCTCCAAAATTGATTTTAAAATTATGCACCACCAAAATAAAAAATGAGTGAAAAAACAGATTCAAAGACACCTGATGATCTCTATGAATGGCTAAATATATCATTTGGACTATCCAATATGTCTAATACTTTCAAAAGAATTATGAATCAAATTTTATGGCAGTTTAACAAAAGGTTTGCAGTAATTTACTTTAATAATATCCTTATCCTCCGAATGATTTAAAGACAGGATGGCCTTACCATTAATAAATTTATGATGTCTGAAGCTTCAACGAATTGGTCAACTTTCAAGTAGTTTTATCAGAGGCTTTAGTTCCATTACTAGCCCTTAACAACCATCCTGAAGTATGCATTTAAAATGACCCTTATTGTGTCTAAAGCATTTGACTCTATCAAAGTTAGAATATGAGGACCTCTTTGCTTAAGCTTCTTAATTTTGTAAAAACTTTTGGAATATCATGTGATTCTATAAGTGCAGTAATTAGAATATTAAGTTAAGAAAATCACCTAGTCACATACTTCAATGAGAATCTCAATGAAGTTTATTAAAAAAATCATTTTTAATTAAAAATTTTATATTAAGATGCAAGCTTTACAGTAATGGCACACTTTCTTCTTCACCAAAAAATTATCTTTAGATTAAAACCGCTAAAATTTGTGGCATTTGCACTTTTAGAAAATGTAAAAGACCAGCGCTAAAAATAAGTTGCATTTTAGTAAGACTATTCTTTTATTCTTAAATATTGCTGACGAATCAAAAAATAAGATAGATGATGCAAAAAGTAGAGTTTTAACTTGCTTATATGAAAGCGTAAAAGTATAAGTTAATAGAAGATGGGTATCAGCATGCCCGATTTTCATATGATCCATCTTGATCTATAAAATAATCAAATTTTATTGATTGCAACAATGTAATGGTTTACTCTTAAAGGCATCAAAAATATGCATCCCTCGATTTACAATATCTTCTTGTATTAGAGTTAACTGGAAAAATATAAAGTGGTAAGATCATATGTTTGAAACAGAAAAAATTTTATTATCATTTACTATTTGAAGAATGTTGCTAGAATAAAAAACCTGTATCAAATTCACACAAAGAAAAATAAAAGTTAAGCAGAGGACAGGCTGAAATACTCCTCTATCTTTTACCTAATGCATCAAGATAATACATCACAAGGACTTCATGTTGACATGCCGAAGACTATCAATGGAAATGAATTCATATTAATAGTAGTTCATGAGTTCTCTAAAATAACATATTTCATTCATTATTCTAACGTAATGATGCCTCTCATTTGTACAAATTGTTCTTTAAAAAAATTGATTGCCTACATGGCCTCCCCACTTCCATTATATATGATACAACTTCCATTATATGGAAACATTCAATACATCATCTGCCTTTCAAAACTACATGAAAGGACAAACGAAAGTTGCGAATATTACTCTTAACCACGACTAAATTTGCTTATAAGTATCAATACTAAAATGACGAAAGTCGACCTTTGATAAGATAAATGGGACAACCACGAAATCCTAGAGATTTCATAGCAATACATGTCCATGCATATTCTTTTAATGCACAATTTGTTAAGCATGTGTATAACTTACATTTTGACAAATTGATTTGCAAAGTGAAAAGTATAAAACTACAACAAATGTCCATAGAAATTTAGAGAATATAGAGATGATTATATGTTCCTTTATATTGGCTTCAAAAGCTTCCCATGTAGCCCCTTTAAGAAACACCTTGTTTGAGCCTCAAAACCCTACCAAGTACTTTAAAAACTTGAAAAAAAGGCATAAACTATTATTTTTCCTTCCAAGATGAATGATAGTCTGACTTTCAATATTAAGAATCTACTATCATATATAAATACTTCTTCAAATAGATTTGTGCATACCTTCCATAGGTTTTGATTTGCCACTAACCCTTTTCATTGATATTAATTGTTGAGCAAATTTTGTCAAATGAGGCTATACTAAGTCCTTCAATTGAACAACATTGTTTGATTTAATGGAGAGATCACCCAACATCGAACAACTCACAGGGAATTCATAACAAGCTTGACCACATATCCCTTGACCTTCTGATTGAATAGCTTCAAATTAACACTCCAGGAAGAGTTCTTCATAATTCATATCCCAGGAGAATTTAAAATGAATGTGATATCTTTACTTATAAGTGAGGTTGACAATGAGACTAATTAAATATTTCATTTCTTTATTTACCATGTTGTCTTTTGGGAATAACTGAATTATATTTTATTAGGTTTACTCCACTCATATTTACTTTTATTAGGATGTATTCTTTAGCAAATAAGTTTTTGCTTTATGTTCTATGGCCGAGTTTAAAAAATTGACTGAGTACTAAATAAATTCTTAGGATCCAATACCTCTTTTCTCTAAGTTATTATGTTTGCAATGATTGTTTACATGTGCATTTTAATCACTTCCAACTTATCAATGGACACTTGGAGTGTCAATTGATGGTGTGATGCTATCTTGTGCATTGGCAGAAATTCTCAAATTACTCAGGGAGCACAATAAATATGGATTAGTTTACATGACAATTATTAATTACACAAATCAAGCAAATTTGAGATTAACCTCAAAGCGTATACTCATCAAGAAAAATAAATAAATAAAACAAGTTGAATTGAGTGGTTTGACAGTCAAAGCATAGCTTTTTTTTAGGTTGTTTCATGTCATTTTAGTAGTTATTCCGTTTAGAAGTAGCCGTTTTCAAGATAGGCATGCCTATGATAATCACCTGAGAATGAGTTGTATTCATTAATATTCTAACATTTCTATGTATCAATTCACTTTGATTCTTTGCGCTATCTAGGTATGGCTTAACCACTAGTTCTTTATTTCGCTCACAGCCTTTGATTATTGATATCATGTGCTGCAAGTTGCATTATAAATTTCTCTAGGCCATTGTTCATTTGGTGTTTGGTCTAGAATTCTCGCTAATTTATTAGGCATAGTTGTTAATTTTCTTACACCAACGCCTCTATTTGGCATGACTAATGGATCCCTCTATTCAGCCGAAAATTGTTATTTATAATTGAGTGCAGTAGAAGTTGTACAAGGCTTAAGACCCTACTATACAAGAGCTATGGCTCTGTTCCTTGTTGCCTTGTTATATGGGCAAGGCAACAGTCTACTTATACCATGCGATCTTCAATTTCAAGATTTCCTTGAAGTTAGGGTAATGTACCTACAAACCTATCATTAATTTTGTTATTTCAAGATATTTTGTGATACAAATATAAGTTCTCGAGACATTGAAAATTTTCTATTCCAAGATTTCCTTGAAGTTAGGTTAATGTACCTACAAACCTATCATTGATTTTGTTATTTCAAGATATTTTGTGATATAAATATAAGTTCTCGAGACATTGAAAATTTTCTATTATGTTCCAAAGAGTGAGAAAAATAAAAACAAATTTGAGTATGCCAAACCTCAAAAAAAAAAAAAAAAAGTTAGAAGAGGATATTCACAGGCTAGGGAATTAGTTCATTTTCATTTCTTTTCTAATACTCTTAAAGAGGAAGCATTTATAGAATTAAAAGACACTTAAGATACATTATCTACTTATCAACCATTTAATACTCTTATTTACCTATAAACTACTAAAAGCCACTAAAACCAACTCAGTCCAACTCACCATTAAATTTATTGGCCCTATTATTATCCACTACTTCAAAAACTTAAACAAAATGAATTTTTTTTATTACAGTGTGAATTCCAATATGGTTTTGCTACTCCTAAATTTCTATTTAGGAGACCATTAAATTTACCTTTTACGATATGTTTTTGTGTTTTATGGTCTTCATCTAAAGATATGAATAGTTCTTTAAACTGATAGCTTATATCATATAACTTATTAATATGAGCATTATATCATATATTTGCATTAAGACACCCGAGACCCTATGATGGCAATCATCAAAAGCCCACAAAACAAATAATACCTTCTTTATATAAATTCACTAGATCACAAATTATTCATTCAATTTTCTAAATCTCCTAGAAAAAATGGATCACAAGAACAAGATCACACAAGAACACAACATAACAAGAGTTCAAGCACAAAATTGATATTCAGATATGAAATAGAAGTGAATAAAATAAATCACTCTTTCAACAAATTAATAGATTTGATAAGAAGAGAGATAGAGAACAAAAAGAATTGAATAACCAAAAACCTCATGTTTAAAAAAAATCACACTCCAGAAAACGTTTGGAATTCTAAATATTTTCACATCCAAAGAGCAATAGTTAAAAGATCCTTTTTTTTTACTCCACTTACTTCACATTTAACTTGAGAAATGAACACAAGGGATTCATACCTCATACATTGCTTCTGTCAAAATACTTTCTAGTATGGATCGCAAACCCCGAGCACCTGTATTTTTAGCAATTGCTTTCTTTGAAATAAGCCGCAGAGCCTTTTCAGTAAAATGTAATTTGACCTGTTAAATAGTAACAACATAGGAAAAAAAGATCATTTACAGTACGTCAATTTGCAGATCCTTTCAATTCTAAAATAAATAAGCACAGCAAAATACTCACATCGTTCATTTTAAAAAGCTTCTTATACTGTTTCCCAAGCGCATTTTTAGGCTCAGTAAGTACCTGCAAAAAATAAGTTCAAGAAAGAACAGTAATCAGGAAAAGATAAAAGTAATAATCCACTGCTGTTGTCAAAGAAGACCTCACAGAATACATGAAAAAAAGTAGCAAAAAATTAAGAATAAAAAAAACTGTCCACTCAAGCACATAAATTCTAGGAAAGACCAAAAAGCAGCACAGGGATGAGTAAGAATAGCAATTTACTTGAAGGAGTTGGTCTTCATTGAGAGCAGACAAGCAAACAAGTACAGGGAACCTCCCAACAAATTCTGGGATCAAACCATATGCAATAAGGTCACCACTTTCAACCTACATAAAGTTGAATGGCTCTTGTCACAAACAAAAGTTACTGATGCAGCTTACATACAAAATAGATTTTTACACTTCCATTGAAAAATAAATCTACAGCCAATTTACTTGCACATACACAGTCCAATAAAGACGAAGTTATAGCAGCATTTGCCAAACCACCAGACCGCATGTTTGCACGAACAGGTGCTCCAAAACCAATGGAAGAATCCTGACGCCTATGATATGATATTCTTTTTAGTTCATGAAAGGGAGAATTAGAGCAACTCAATTATGAATTTAATATACAATTTATCATTTAACCTTTCTGAGATAGTCTTCTCTAGATCAACAAATGCACCTCCGCAGATGAAGAGAATATCTTTCGTATCAATCTGACAAGGAACATAAAAAAGAACAAACAAGTAAGACAATAGCAGAAACCACTTAAATGGCAGAAAAATTCGGATGGCAAGAAAATTTGGGTGCGGGCGCTCATCCAAGCGTCACAAAGTAACCAACAGCTACCAGGACAGCCAACCAACAGATAAGTCATTATTTCAGAGTATCCATTGTAGCAACATAATTTACTAATTAATGGTCAATTAATTACTTTATACAAAGAAAAGAAAGGAAGAAATTTTTGAATAGAAGAATCAGACGATACTATATTTTGGAAAATAAATGCTTTTTGTTTCAAAGGAAAATATATCCTTAAGATACATAATTTAAATATTTTTAAAATTTATTTACATTTTTAATTAGGAAAGTAACATTATTGTTTAAGAAAAAATTAATAACCTCATAAACCTTCGTCAGGTGTTTGGGAATGGATTCAACAAACAATAGATAGAATGCAATACTTCATTAAATTTTTAATTCCTAGCTAGAACAAGTTAACATGCATATTTAAATTATTGTTTGATGGGTTTATCAAAGAAATACATTTTATGCATCTTCCCTAATCATTGACTCCATACATCAAGCCTAATTCTTTCAAAATTCAAATTTGTGTTGGTGTTGCCTAATGAAAGCCTTGTTCCTTATGTGAAAATTTTAAATCTATTGAAAATTATAATTTTAGTTCTACTGACAACAATTAAAAAAAGACTATTATGGATAGGGTTCAACTAGAATAAATTCAAAATTGGCGAAAAAATTTGGGTTTAAGCCCATCAACCACTTTCCACGTAAGACTATAGAACAACTTAATCAAGCCAAAATCCGCCGAAAATCTATTTCTTATATTTTTAAAATTTAAATCACTAATATGTTGTTTGTTTTTAAGAAATTATTAGAATGAAAATCAAAATTGTCAAGGAATTCAAATAAAATTTATTTTGCCTAGCTTGCTTTATTAAGGAAAAATTGGTGAAAAATATGTTTTCTTTCTTATTTGGTTGGTAAGAATTTTAACGCTTCTTGCAAATTTAATAAAATTTTCTTAAGATTATCCACTAGAATTAGATAAGCAATTGTCAATGAAAAAAATATATTTATTCGCACATCTTAGCCGATTTCAATCACTTATTGATCACAACGAAACCAAATACCCAAATGAAATTTAAGTAAAATGGATTTGCACTCATCCCCCAATTCGTACAATTCAACAAAAACTTTTAACATTTTTAAAAAACATATATTTTAATGTAAGTATTAGGATTGCTAAAAACTGAATGGATAAAACCACGAATTCAAGTGCTAAATAGAGAAAATATGTTCCATGGATTTATGGGGTAACATAAAAAATAGAGTGAAATGAATTACTTCCCCACCCCCGGCGAAGATAAAAAATTTTGCATAGCAAATTTTAATTTTAAATAATCTGTAATTAGTAAATTTTAATTTTTTTTGGGTAGTTATAGGCATAAATCATTGAAGGATGAACAAAACAGTATTTCTAACCACTTTCCATATAATACCAAAGCAGGGTTTCAAAGGTCCTTTTTCCAACTATTGTTTTTTTCCTTTTTTTTTCATTGTTCTCATGTGTATTTTTTTAACACCCTTCTAAAGAGTGGTCATCACGAATAATGAATTAGACTAAAGGAGAACTATGGAGGCTACAAATATCAAATCATTTTAACTGAAAAAAATTATCTGAGGAATTCTCAAATTGTGAAAATTTTTCTAAAAGAAAAAATAAAAATCCATCACCTTGTTGATCCATCGAAACAAAACAATCAAAAGCTTGCATTGGGATGAAACAAATTCCATGATATGGATGGTTATGGAACATCATCATGTATGAAATCAGTGAACCACACACATTCCTAAGAATTGCAAAAGGCATAAGACATTTGGGAAACTATCAAATGGACTTAACGAAAGTTAAAGATGTTGCTCTCGTCTATAGAGATGAAAATGAAGCACTCAACAATTAAGCAACATAATCTCTCCGTCTTGTATATTTCAATATAGCAAATATCTATTGTCTGGAACTAGATTATTACCAAGATTTCAAGACAAAATAAACCATTAGTAAAATGAAATCAGTGGACCACACACATTCCTAAGAATTGCAAAATGCACAAGACATTTGGGAAACTATCAAATGGACTTAACGAAAGTTAAAGATGTTGCTCTCATCTATAAAGATGAAAATGAAGCACTCAACAATTAAGCAAGATAATCTCTCCGTCTTGTAAATTTCAATATAGCAAATATTTATTGTCTGGAACTAGATTATTACCAAGATTTCAAGAAAAAATAAAGCATTGGTATTATGATTCTCAAATAGTTCGCATAAAAAGAAAATGTGTTTGAGCTTTTTGCGCAACTCAAAAATGAATTTGACCTAACTCATATTCAAAGCTTGAATAGAAAGAACTATCATTCCTAAATGAGAAATTCTCACTCATCCTAATCGATTAAGAAATAATAGTGATAATAATTAACACTCACAACTCCGAAACGTCGGCCGTGACAACCACAACACCTTTAAGAGACCTTTTTCACTAAATCTCCTCCACCCCCCCCCCCCCCCCCCCCCCAAATAAAAAATAAAAAATAAAAACATTTTCCCCAAAGGCAACCTATCATGCAATCATAGTACGTAAAATAGGCATATCAAGGGAAAAAAATTAGAAAGTCCACGGAACACCGCAAGGCTAGAGTGAAAACAAAGAATGTCAATCAAAAGGGCAGGCTTACCTTGTTAAACCAAAAGAATGCAATTTAAAAAAAAAAAAATTGATAAACTAAGAAATTTTCTCAGAGCTCTCAAAAAACCTTTCAAGTCATTCTATCTAAGCTCAAAGCAATACAAATTCTAACTCTGGCAAATAATTCCCCTAAAACCTAGATAACATATTCAAAGGACATAAATCCGATGTCAAGTTTTATCAATATATTCCAAGCCCGCAAACCTTATTCTTGTAATAAATCTTTTGTTTATTCATAAACTCACTAGAAATCAAAATTGCAAGATGATAATTACTATAAATAAATATCCCAATTGTGCTTCGGTAATCATTGTTTTGAAATTTTGAAACTTGTGACAAAATAGCATATCTTAATTGTTCTTGATTGGCTATGAGAAAACACCTCCTTATTGTCTCTATTATGTTGTAGAATATATGATAGGAGTGAATTATTTATTTCAAAGCCTCACTGTGAGGGAAAAGATTGGGCTAGTTAAAAGAAAGAATAGACTATACCTACTTGAAGACAGTAATCGCCAATCCTAGTCATTTATATGCACTCTAAATAAAGACATCATTTGTAACCATCACTATAAACTAGGGCATCTCTCCTTTAAAATCCTACAATATATATTTTCTTCTCTTTTTATAAATTTTGGCATTGAAGGCTTTCATTGTACGACTTGTAAAATTGTTAAATATCATAGAATTTCCTTTCATAAAAGTGAAACCAGATGCTTTATTCTTTTTATGATATCTCACTCCAAACCATAAAAATCCCTAATATTTTTTAAGAGAAAATTTGTTATATTCATTGATGATTGAACTAAGATGACATAGGCTTATCTTATCAAATAAAAAGTTGAAGCCAATCATGTTTTACTAATCATTTTCTCCTCAGTAAGAAAATTAATTGGAAGTAAATATTAAAAAAAAAATCAGAATTGACAATACTCAAAATTATTTCCATCAACTATAACTTCTTTCCCCAATAAAGAAGATATTATTCACCAATACACTTCCATAACACCACATAACAAAATGGGGTGAAAAAAATTTACAAATAAGCACCTCAATTGACCTCCGTACATGTTTCAAAACCCTACTTGATTAAACATAAAAGAAACAAAAGATTACAAGCACAACATCATGCAACTCCGACTTAAAATAAATCTCAAATATTGAAAATACTCAAATGTCACCCATCACAAAATGAACTGAGACGATAGATTTGGAACGGCACTCAAAAATTACTTGGAATGACATCCACAATATCTAGCGCTTGCATATGAAAAAGACAAAAAATACCCAAAGAATACAATGCTACTGCTCGTTTTGCAAAAATAACTCTGGAAGTAAGTCAAGAATATTAAAATTACCAAAAAAACCAACAATATCACACATTTTGTCACATAAGGAAAAAAAAACCATACTTTTGAAAGTTGCAACAACAATAATAATCTGAAAGGATGAAAAATGAAGTTCATATGCACAAGAAGTGAGACTTAGCATGAGCAAATGAATATTCATCTAAGTTAAAGGTGACACTGAAAATTGACGCTCAAGCAGTAGAAAATTAAGCAATGAGAATTGATACACAATTTATAATAAAAAATTTAAAATCAAATTAAAATTAATAATACTAAAAAAATATAGAAGAATAGACTAAATATTTGTTCAATATAACTATTATTCTAGAATTAATTGCATAGACTCTATAATCCAACTTCGGCTCCACTGCCATTTACACGTTGAATATTTTCTCAACCCATAAGTTCAATATATTGAGAAGAAGTATAATCCAGGCTCAAGTTAGGGCTATATCTTTGCATGGATTTCAATATATTCAAAACAAGTCTAATTCTGAGATCAAGTTGGGGTAGTGAAGAAAATTATTTATTATGATGATGATTCCAATAAAAACCCCATGAGTGAAAAAATTGGCTGATAAAAAAATAATTTTTTATTTATCGATAGGCATATATTATGGATCTTTTGAGAGAAACAATAATGATTGATTGCAACTCTTGTGAAAATTCAATTGAACAAGGTTAAAAACTAGCCAAAAATGAAGAAGGAATAAAAATTTATATTAGACAACATCAAATATTAGTTGAAAAAATACTGTCTATCTCACAACCATCTTGACATCACCTTTGTTATAAGTCTCACAAGTCAATTTATACACAAACTAAAATAATCTCACCTGTAAGTTGTTTAGAGAGTTCTCAGATATCTAAAATCAAATTTTG